GAGTGATTTCGATACGGTGTATCAATGGTCAACTCAAAACTTACTGCATTACAACTTCAGTAAATGCAAAGTGCTTTCTATATGACATCACTGCAACTACTCATACCCGCTCGGAACGATTATACTACAACGATCAACTCTCGAAAGCGAGTTAGGTGTTTGTGCTTCAACATGACTTGGTTGCTCCAGGCAATCCGAAAAAGTCTCGAAGACTGGCAACCAACACGTCGGGCTGTTGCGACGAGCGTTTGGACAAATAAACAGCTCCATTTTTCCACAAATGCTCAGTATGTATGTTCGCCCCCATGTCGAATATGCAATTCAAGCCTGGCATCCATGGCTGAAACACGACCTCAACACACTGCAGAAGCCACAACGTCGGGGATCTAAGAACGTAATTGGAATGCACAATCTTTCATACCAGGAGAGGCTACAACGATTGGGGGTATTCAGTGGAAGATATCACAGACTACGAGGCGAGCTGGTTATGGCATACTTGATTCTGCGAGACCCACATCATTTGTGTTACCATTGACTACGACTCAGCACCAATACAACCCTGTGAGGCCAGTCAATGAAACTCGCTGTACAGTATAGCCTTTCTGGAGTGTCGCAGAAATTTCTTTTTCATTCGTGTCTGTCACCTCTGGAATGCTCACCCACAATCGGTCGTCACCGCACTGACACTAACAGTATTTGAAAGACGGTTGGATGATTCACTCATCCACTTACACTTTGTCACTTAGCACTACGTCTCCATCCTACACTTGAGTTTACCATGGAATTATTCGATGTGAACAGCGGGTGCTGTGAATCTAAGCGAATTGCAGGACTACGGCGGACCAAAGTATAAGTCCTTATTTTCATATTTAAAGTACTAACTGTTTTACTATCATTGTTACCATTATTCTTATGTCGATATCCCCACCAACTATCCAACGGCACTTGTAAAGCAACACTTCTTAACCCGTATAAATTCATAGTTCATTTTTCATTGAAATCTATAATCACCACACTTCGGGAAACCAAATACGATGCCATCACGTTGTCAACTGACGGTGTAACCTTGGCCTTCTTTGGTGTAGGAAGGCATGTACGCCTCTATTGCTTTGTTTGTTCTTTTCTTTCTGGTTGAAGCAATCAATCAAGCACTCATCCATAGTGATGAATTTTGCAAAAAAATCATTGGCATCTGCATTAAACATTTCCAACTTTTTCTTGGACATAACATGTCGAATGCGCTTCCGCTCAGAAGTCAGAAGACGTGGCACCCATCAAACAGAAACTTTTGAGTAGCCTTACGCCTCCGCCAGAATATTATCTGCTCGTTCCTGGGAGATTTTGACCTTTCTGCTACCTGATGAGATGTTAATCGCAGATATTGCATGGTCAAGATTTTCTTTGGTAGTGGCGGTTGATGGTCTCTCTGACCTGGGCTCAACTTCATTACTCTCCCTGTAGCCCTCAAACTCTTGCACTCAGTGTTTATCTGTGGCACATGAAGGGGCATTGTCATGCAATGTATTGAGCATATCTTGGTGGATTTCAGATGGTGACATTCCTTTGATCTAGAGATATTTGATCACTGCGTGATGCTCCAATTTCTCCACTTACACAAAATTGCAGTCCCTCTTCAATTTAAGCAACTGCTGAAATGAAAGTAAGAGGTAGAAATATGAATTTGTATGATTTAAGTAAGCAAAAGTCGTAGATTATAAAAAAAATTTAGTTGACTTGCTTGACTATCAGATTTCTGTGCCAAGCTCAGAATTTTTCACTCAACCCAAGTATGTGTTACCACGTTAGTAGCGAAGCTGTACTACTTCACACTTCACCGCTTTGAACGGGAGTAGATCGGTCTATGGTCATTTAACTGCACTGCCATGGCCTCGTTGCAGTAGTTCATGATCATCCGTACTACTTATTGCCAAGCATATCTTGTTGTTATCGGCCCAGGCATCATGGACGAGATCAGACGACACAATGTAAGTCCCACAGAATGAGCGGAGAGTGGATTGGGAGAGACAAAACGGTAGAGAGCCTGAGGCAAGTAGAATAGAGGATGTATTGATTGAAAGGTTCATAAATAAGAGTTACGCCTTTGTCGGTGAATCCAGGAGGAAGACCAAGCAGAGTAAGGCAACCGCGATTGAGCAAATCAAGCGCCGTAGAACATCTCCAGGCTAGTCAGAATGTAATTTAGCCACCAGTTTAAAGCGAAACGATGTACGAATGGGACAGGAGATAATTTTCCATGTCTGGTGCTTTGTGGGACGGAAACATGACCGATACATAGGCGCTTGCGCGACACTTTTGTTAACCATGATCACCGGCTATAAAGATTGTGCTTTCTTGCCATACATGGACAGAGTTCCCAACACGGATATTTGCAGCGTTTGCCACAGGACGTGGTAATCGAAGCGGTCGAACGCTTAAATGACGTCGGTCCCGATTTCACTATCCGTTGTTTCGACCCGATTGCCACGCGTAGTCAGTGGGTTGCTAGTACACGAACGGTGTTGACAAAAGCCGTGTTGCTCCCGTGTGAAAGCACACACAAGAACACAAAGTTTTCCAGAAACCTGCAATCTCAGTGAACTGATGGATGTTTCGTGTCACTTGATAACGTGGCACTAACTCATTTTCTTTCTGTAACCATTTGTACAACCTACCGAAGGTGCCGTTATAGGGGAGAATGCTGCCTTGGCTTTTTCCATCATACAATGATTAGTATCATGACTCATAGAAGAGGTTTTGTTCCCTAGCCATGTTTGTCCGACAATGTCTTCGGTTCCATAAACCGCTGACTGACGCGTTATAAGATTTGCTCCACTCCCTCTCTTTAGCCCTGTGTATTTCCCTCCTGGGGGATTATTTGATCAACGTGTACTGGTTACTCGACTTGTTCGCAAACGCTCCTTCTATGTTATTACAAACTGTGATGTCGGACGCGCAGCCATCCCATAACCATTTCTACTTTCGACATACGTTATCTCACAGCAGGTCCTCAAAGAAGCGATTTCGCTCTTGTGTACATGAAGTGCTTTTAGGTGTCCATCATCTAACCCTGCTCCCTCCTGCCAGACTGACAGACCTCCTAGGCGAACATACATCTAGTGATCTGGATCGCGTCATCTGGCACTAAATTCATCGAAATACACTCACCTTGGTCTTTTCGTTATTGAAAAGAGACAAATCAATAACTGCTGAAAGAACTATGTCAGATCTACGTTAACTGTGTGCGGGTTGTCTTCATCTATGTTCCTCTACCCTTAAGGAGTCGCCCTATGCCACTTCTTATGAAGGAAGTATTCACAAAGTGTGGTTGTCACTTTAGGTTTCTTGTCTGAAATTTACATGGGTCTCCGGCGGTCTAACTGATTTCGTTTAAGTCTGTGTTCTAGCCCAATGGGGCTACTGATCATTTGCGTATTTTTGGGTATCCTGCTTGTAAACCAGTTAAAGTACTTCTCATATCCCCGAAACAGTTGTCGCATGCTGTCGGCATTGCTAAGCCAACCATATTATTATTATTATGTCTGTTTATGCAAGACCTTATGAAAGAGTTGGATCAAAATACTTACCGGTGATAACTACCTGGCTTACTGTTCACCCGTCATCCATTATATAGCATGCTTTTGGTGGCCGATAACCTAGTCACCAAAAAAACTAGGCAGTAGATTTAATCACAGATTTCCTTCCCGTCCTCGAATGAATAGTTCGTCTAGTCTGTTAGAATTCTCAACTATCTTTGACAAAACTAGTAACCGGATGTCGCCAACCATGTGTGTGCTGTAGCCGAGAGTATTTACCCATTCCTGAGTGCATGTAGCATGCTCTCGAAAGGAATTCAATTGACATACAGGATTGCTGATCTTAGCTCATTCGTAGCAGACCGCTGCTCATCGTGTCCAAAACTGCTCTATTCGGGTAGAAAGTGCATCATGGATTTTCCCCCAAGCTAGCGTATGTTTCAAGACTAGGTGAACCCAAAAGTCAGTCATACAGTCAGCGCACATACAGGCAAGTGCTATACGGCCGGTTCGTCTTATTGCGACTTGTCAGTAGCGCTTATCTGCCGGATCCTGTCTGATCCAAGCCCATGACCTTCGTCCTAGGAGTTATAGCTGATGGAAGCGTACCACCATGACTGCTTTACAACCGTGTTGTAACGCGGCTCACCTATCCTGATAACTGTCACCACAATTTTATTTGTGGTGAGCTATTTCAAAAACGTACCAAATCACCCTCCTATTCTCTAGGACCGCCATAATTCAGACATGAGCGAAAATGGCGCAGTTTTTAGTGAAACCGGTACCTGAGACGCTGAAATTCTAGGACTTGAGAGTCAGACACGAAAAAACACTAGACTATCCAGTAGCAATGACGTCAGGTTGTGGTTTTGCAGCCTAGTGTATGTGGGTGTCTCTTTCGTCATATGTTGTGTGTTACCGAAAAGGCGCTGGAGACAATGTACACGTATTGGTCACTAGGCCCAGTGACCAACATGAAAGCCGTCAACCATTGTGTTGGGCTCCCCTCTCAACTCAAGCTTTCTCTACCAGGTGCTTCCAAATCAAAGCTTTCAGTCGTTGAGTGCGGTGTTGGGAAAACACAGCTCCTAAACTCTCCACTTTGGATATCGTCCCAGTGATCGAAATGGCATAGATTTGTTTCAAAGCAAACTGTAGCCTCAATCGAGCTTGCGTGTCGAAATCCAGGCACACGGCGGGTACTCCAGTATCCACGAATAAATATTCACATATGTAAAAGTCTGGCGCTGTTTGGATCTCACGCGGTAATTTGTATGGTCTAGTGAAGAACACTGCTCATCTAGAATACTTTTTGAAGCCAAAGTAAGCATCGCTTATCCGAGACAGAACGATACCTTCAAGAGTGCGAATATCTATCAGTTGTTCCAATAAATCTCCATGTTGAAAAACTAATTGTGTAACAGTTGCAGTTACTCGAATCTACACTACTCCCGCTTTCTATTACAGGAGTGTCCCGCTGGGATGTTGACGGAGGAAGTGTTCAAGGATGTCTACTGCAAATTCTTTCCCCAAGGAGGTAAGTGAACGATACTGCAATAGACGCCTGTGGGAATCATGTTTGCCTAGTAAACAAAATATGTGGAAATCGCATGAAACGCCCTTTGAGAACAATTCTCCGGATCATTCGAATTTACTGACCAACCACCAACCTACTTGAAGATGCCTTTATTTCTCAATTCGTTTACGAATCTCATTTAAGAATTACCAGTGACACCGACTAGGCCTAGACGTTTGAGAAATTCAACCAACTCACGCGCTTTCAATCGGATAAATTTAGTAGTGGTGTTGACAAGACTGTTTGTTTCATCGTATGTACAGTTTTGGAGCTGCTTCGAAAAATTCAACTTTAGCTAGGGAAAGAAAAAATACGAAGAATAAATTTTGGATACTTGTCATTTCAGGGTTGGAATGGTAATGGCGACTTGGCACCAGGGTTTTACCGGCTTGTTTTGTAGGGGGAGATTGACGATTTCTTTCGTATACCTCACAGTCATTTGACCCCAACATGATGACATAATACAAAAGGAGCTTTACTAAATTCACTGGTGCGCAACCTAAGCTTTGGTTGTTTGATATTTAGCCCGATGTATTGCGCGCGCCTCTTTGCGACGGTAAAGGAAAGTACGAGAAAGCCCTTCGGAGGCTGCGATCTTGCTGAATTTGCTCACCAGATTTCCATATTTATCTGATCGAGTACAGGTAAGCACATTCGGTAAAGTTCATTGCCCATTGTTGGAAGTGAAAGAATGATGCTTACATCACCATGTGCGCAAATGTTGTCGGCATTTGCACATCCTACAATCAACAGGGAATATCAGTTGGAAGTTAAGATAGGCTAGAACGCAGCAGTTACTAGTGTCTAAACGGATAGAGTGCCGACATTAAAAATAAGACAACAAAGATAAGTTCTGGGGCACACCAAGTTGGCATTTATGCTGTTAAGATTGAATGTCGATTTGGAGAAGCGAATAGAGTACCCTGATGGAAAGAACTGCAGCTCATCCACAGCCCAGGTAGGCAACTTCACTTACCGGTGGAAGAACTACAGAGGTTACTTTAGCAGCGTATCTGCAACGTCCAATTTCACTTTGCTAGACAGCTATACCGACAGAAAGGCTGGTTATCTATGTGGTCACCATTGCGTCCTTTGTTTACTTATACGTCCACTGATTGAAATGATTGAGTGGTCGCTACTCTATAAACGCTATATCAATGAGGTGATGTGCATAGCTGACGGCTGCATGGACCAGGTTGAATTAGTAAAGAAATTCAAGCGGGCCTACAGGGACAATTAGTTTTCCATGCAATCCGAGAGTTATATGAAGGTCTGGCTTTGCTGGGTGTTCAAATGTCACTTCGATCGGAGACTCTCCGCAGCGTAGAATACACAAGAAAGCGACGCACGATAATAGTCTTGTATCTATCTGGCAAACATAGAACCTAGTCCGGTGCCTTGTCGGAAGTGCAACGAAAATATACTACGAGGACACAAATGAAACAGTGTACGCCGTCATAAGAAAAGTGTTCCTTAATAATGGCATGCATAGGTTCGTTGACGGGAATATGAGAACTGACTGTGTGCTCGCCAAAGCTCCCATGGTAGGAAAGAAACCAGTATACTTCGCCATTCGAGAAAGGCAACAATTCCGCACACGTTAGTAAATCAGTAAGAGTGGCAGTCAATATCTATGGAGTCGCAGAAATGATGCGTTATATTCACTTTCACTCCCGTGCTACACAAGCTGAAGAGTAAACTGTACATAGATGTCACTTCCTGTATGTACCAGTCTATCTGTTCCTCTGGGACAAGTCATATACATTCCATCACGAGACGCGTATCTGAAGGCGTCCGCGAACATCACCTAGCATGACTAAGCCGAGGATGGATGATATGCCCCACCCTAATAGCTGCACACCTATTCCAAACGAATCACCCGGTCGTTATCGCTAAAACTTTCGCCCGATCTATCGATGTCCATTTAAGCTTATCCGATGCATTAGTGGAGGCGATCGCGATTCCACTCATCGACCCTCGTTGTGTGTGTGTGTGTGTGTGTGTGTGTGTATGTGTGTGTGCGTGTAATGTGTGTAAACAGTTCGTCAAGGCTGTGACTTTACCGTGACTAGCTGACGTCCGTGCAGCTTCCGCATGAACACCCAGTATAGCAGTCATTTTGACACTTTCAGTTTCATGTCACTCAATCTACATTTTTTAGATTAACTGCATAAATGTGTTGGATTTCGCCTGACGATGAATCACTGAAAACCAGCTTGTTTGCTAAACCGTCGTTTCACGATGAAAACTGGGACTCAAGCCACTTTAACTTACAGTGGAAATCACAAAGTTCAAGGCTACACGGTTGATTTCACGACGCGTAATGTTCTGATTATAAACGAACGATAACGATGGCAAGTGCTGCTCACGTTTAGTCGACCGAAACGAGAGAAAAACAACCGCCACTCAATCGATCGATAGGTTGTCGCCAGACTCTGAGGAAATTGGGAACGAAATGAGGCGGAAAATCGTTCCACTTAATCTCAGTGTTGCTAGCGAGCTTTCAGCCGAGTCGCAGCAATAAGCGTGAGATGATAGATGGAATTCGGTGGAGGTATCATGCTGTGCCATTTGTGATGCAGTGGCAAAGAATTTTGTTGCAGTGTAGATTGTTGATAGGCTCTTAAGTTAAGTCTATCATGTGGTAGAAGTTTCCGTTCATTTATGATTGCCTGATAAAGAGGATGATTTAATTCTTTATCCGAAAATGATATATCTCTCTGGTTTTCTTTAGATAAGTTGCTCATTTCAAAGGAATATTTTCCAATAACTGTACGGTTTTAAAATTTAACACGGGAAAACGTTCATACAACTGGCGGTCTGACTAGCCGTGACGACGCTTCCAGCCATCGAGAAACTGGTGCATAAATTGCCGCGATGGATTTGGTCCACGGATGGATCACAAAGAAGGGTAGGTAGAAAGGGAACAAGCTTAAGCTGAAACAAAGCTGCAGACAGACAATTTATCCAATTGCAAAATACTGGTGTTTTGGATTAAGTGTGCATAAGTCCATATGGTCTCCAACGCTGACAATTGGGTCAAAACAGCTTTATTTTCCAATAAGATCTCGGCATTATGTAATAGAAGCGAAGTTTCGTCTAATAGCTTGTGTTTACATTAGCTTCGGATGTTAGTCCTTGTAATCCAGCCTCACTGGTCGCTGATTATATAACAACTACAGATTGTGGCCAGTTATTGTTATATAAGCCACAACGCGGGTGCAGTAGGCTAAATGAAATAATGGTACTTTTCTACATAACATCTAGCAACTCATGCCTGGCACAGTACGCCATCGCGGTGCACCTAGGAGGTGTGTTCAAAAAGAAACCGAGCATTTGAAATAGCGCGTCAACCGGTAGAGGGAGCGTCCTGTGACTACTGAGGGTATATGGAGGCTTGTTTGGACAACAAAATGTCATTTACCTCATTTCATTCTGACTGTTGGAGAGGTATAGCCACTGAAATGAACATCTGCACAACCTATTCGTCATATTAGTGCCAAAGAGACAATGAAGGTGTTTGCAGAACAACACGTGTGCGTGAAATTTTGCCACAAACTTAGCGAAACTTTTTCAGGGATCTTTTAATTGCATAGCAAAGTATACGGGGAGGACTGTATGAGTCGCATACTGTGCTATAAGTGGTTTAAGTGTTTTAACCACGGCAGAATGTCGGTCGGTGATAATCCCAAGCCTGGACGACCTTCCACATCAACCGATGACCATGTTATCCTTGAAAACCGTCGTTTAACCATTCGGAAAGTTGCTGACAATGGCATCAGCGTAGCATCATGCCATCAAAATTTGAGTGGCAAACTTGAGATGCGCCGTGTCAGTGTAAAATTCGTGACGCGTTTGTTGACTGACGATCAGAAGCAGAACCGTGTTTAAACCAACCAGGAATTGTTCACCACTGCCAGTGACAAAGAAAACTTCCTTAGGAACCTCAAACTAGGCGTTGAGAGGTGGGCTTATGGCTACGAGATTATAACAAAGGTGTAGTCGTCGCAGTGAATTGGGTAAGTGTCTCTCCTTCTAAAAAATTCGCATGAGTCGGCCAAAGATCAAGGTGATGTTTGTGGTGCTTTTGACTGCAAAGTCATTGTCCAACAGGAATTTGTACCACATGGTTAGATGCTACACAGGGACGTCTACCAGGGAATTCTAGCGCGTTTGAGGGATGCTGTGTGCTGGAAGAGCCCTGAAGTGTAAAAGCAGACTTGGCTGTTGCATCATGACAATGCGCCAGCTCACGCATCGCTCCTTGTCCGCAAGTATCTAGCAAAACATCACACTCTCGTTGTCCTCATCCACCGTATTCTTCGGACCTAGCCTCAGCAGACTTTCTCTGTTTCCCAAACTTAAAACCACCTTGAAAAGATGTCATTTCCAAACCATAGAGCAGATTTAAGATAGAGTGTCAAAGACCTGCACGACGTTCCAGAAATTAGTTTTAGGAGTCTTTCCAGAAATGGAAGCACCGTTGGGAGACTACTTTGATAGGGAAGTGTTTAAAATGTTATGCAATGAACAATACATATGTTATAGTAAAACTTCAGTTTCTTTTTGCACACACCTAATAATTAATAGCGAACAAGTGGTTGAGAATTGACAACCGCAGACCCATGCAAGCGTCTCCGGATGTGAATCGTGTCTACCTTGACATATTATGGAGGGATCTAAGAGCGGATGGACGGGATACCAACGATGTCTTCGTGTGATAGTTAAAGTACATTTTGAATAAGCCGCAGCCAACATTTCACCCGAACACATGACCCGGTGCATCGACGATACTTTCATGATTGAACAATTGAAAAGGGCTTCAAGCATAGGCTTACCAGCTCGCTTCGGTTGGTAAGGAAAGAAATTGTAAATTCAAAGATTACACAAGTGGATCAAATAAAAGGGGCAACGGTGAAGCGACAGAATAAAGGTATGTTAGAAGTAGGATTGTGGTAATG